GAGGGCAGTGTCACTGGCCCTCATATGTGGGATCCGAACCGGGGCCCTCTGGCATCCCAAGCGAGTTCTTAACCATCGCGCCACTCGGCCGGCCCCATGCAAGGAGTTTTGAAGAGAGCGAAACAAGTGGAAGTCTGACGGCGCAAGATCGTGCGAGTATGGTGGGTGTGGCAACACATCCCATCCAAGCTCCAGTCATTTTTGACAGGTGATCAAACTTGTGTGTGGTCTCACGTTGTCTCAATGGAACACAACTCCTTTACAACTAACGAGCTCTGGACATTTCTGGATGATGGATTCATTCCAACTGCCCAATTGCTGACAGTACACATTTGAATTGATTGTTTGGTTCCTTGATAGGAGCTCAAAAAACACGACACCTTTAAAATCCCACCACACTGAGAGCATAACCTTCCTCTGATGAATGTCTGCTTTTGATGTCGTTTGAGGGGAATCATCACTTTGGGACCAAGACCGTTTGCACACTGCATTGTTATAAACAATCCACTTCTCATCACCAGCTATGAGTCGCTTCAAAAAAGGATCGCTTTCCTCACGTTTAATGAGCATATTGCAGACATTTATATGCGCCGTAAAATGAACTTCTTTGAGTTCATGTAGAACCTAAATATCAAGCTTGCTTACGTATCCCAGCTTCTTCAGGTGGTCGTGAATGCTTGAATGATGGATGTTCAATGTTTCTGCAATTTCTTGTGTCATGTAACGTGGGTTTGACTCGATCAATACCTTTATTTTGTCGTCATCAACCTTGGTGGGCCTCCCTCACCAAGGAGCGTCATTGAGATAAAAATCACCAGCACGAAATTTCGTGAACCATCGTTGGCACTGACATTCTTGTAGAGCATTGTCACCATAAACTTTATGCAACTTTTCACAAGCTTGATGCGCATTCTTCCCTTTATGGAAGTAAAACAGTAAAATATGGCAAAAATGCAGTTTGGTCTTCCATCTTCAACTTGCTGTAAAATCTCCAAAACTCAACCAAATTGCTCAATTTTTTTTAGAATGAAGCTAGAACTGTCAGCTGTCAAATGACATAGCAATAACATAGGTGAGAATGACTCAAGTGCTTCCAAAAATGAATTAGTGCCCCTGTCGCAAACATGCGTCATGACTTTTCTGACAACACAATACTTACAATGGGAGGAAATCAGTTTTAAAGGAAGGCTTGGAAACCATAAAGAAACAGGAATGGATAGTGGCGGCCAGGCAAACATGAAGTACCAATGGCCAGAGCTAAGCCACAAAGCTGTCCCAGATTCAGACGGGAAAAGCTCTTACCGGGCAGTCAAATGCATTTCCCAGAAGGACCACTGAGTACCTCAAGAGAGCAGGTGGCTGTGAGAGAGACACAAAGGTGCCCTCACGGCCATCAGACAGGCGCGGGGGGCTATTCCTAGGAGGGACCTGGCACACCCAGCACAGCAATCAAAAGTACTGTCAAGATACAGCTGGGCCATGTCACTGGGGCCAGGAAGAAAGAGGCCACCAGGAGAGTGGGGCAACGTTAACAACAGTTTCCTCAAGCAAGGCTTTGTTCTGAGATTCACTGCTGAACCCTTTACGTGATGCCCTAAATTTCTCTTTCCTTCTTTAAAAGTCATTTTTATAGACCCACAGGTGAGACTAAATTTATCTTCTTCCTCCCACCCCTGAATGAAAGGTCTGGAAATCTGCGTGCTAGAATTGATTAATTTTCCGTGGTGACATTTCAGCATGTCAGTCTAATGCCACCTCAACAGAACCAAGGTAACCTTCGGTCTTTGGGACCCTTATTAACCAGACAAAGTCCAGAAGAGAATATACTCTCTTTTTCTCACCAGCATTCTCATCCTAGCATTCCCAGCCCCTCACCCCTTTTTAATGGCTTCTCTTTCAATGGCCTTTAAAATCAAAGCACCAGAAACAGAAAAGTGATTCTCTCCAAACTCCTCCATGGATTAAGCTGACAGGGAGTATCTGAGCCCAATTGGCCACTGAGTCAGCAGGAAATTCGGGGGTGGGGTGAGCTTGGCCAGTGGGGAGAAGGCAGGCCTTTCACAGCTGTTTGCTCCTGCATCTCCAGCCTCCCTCCCCCGCAATGTGTAGATCTGATCTTACAGAATGTTTACTAGCTTTGTTTTGGGGAAGTGGGGTCCCTCTTTCAAAATGACCAAATGAGCAAATGCTTATCCTCTGAACAAAATGTTAACATGGTCACGGGAGTTTTGTCACAGGCCACAGCGGAGGGAATGTTGGTGTGACGTCAGTGTCTCTGTCTCTCTCTCAGGGAAGGGTGGCCTTTTTGGCTGCCACTAGACGGCTATAGATTAAACAAAGTAAATATCACAACCCAGGAAGCCAGAGCCAAGACTCACAGCCGTACTCATTTCAAATACAAAAGTCTAGCAGGGCAGTAAAAGTCCCTTCTGCCCCCTCCCCCCACACTCCCACCCCCCATCTGCAGAAACCTCAAGGGCAGAGCTGGGGGAGATAAAACGAAAGATTACGGGTTTGAAGTGGCACCTTAATTTATTGGCCTTCTTAACTGATTAGGTTAGATTTTCTTTTAGACAGATTTTGCAAATTCCTCCTGGTACTTCATATTATTTTCTGTGAATTGAAGTATACAATATCATTTAAGAACTTCAAGTATTACTGATTTCAATATTTATTAGTCTAATTTATTGGTGTTCAAACTGCTGATGTGAACATTATCCTAATTAAATAGAGGATAAATGTTCAGCGACAGAATTCTTTCGTCCCCAAGGGGACAGCAGGCCGGCTTTGGTGATGGCAGCAGCCATTTAAAATGGAAAGAAACAGGTTTCCAGCAGTTGTGCTTTCTCTCCCCAGGTCGACCCTTATCTCGCCCTTATCTGCACCATTACTGAAAGGTTCTTAGGCCAAGTGAAGGGGAATGAAAGCAGGCAGGGTGGAAAAGCTATTTTTCTCTAACTTCTCTTAAGGTTTAAGTTGCTAACTCCCACACATTCCCCCCCTGACAGAAAGCCTAGAGGGGACGGCAAGGCTTTTTAGGGTTCCCAGTAATGCTTGTTTATACACTCAGACTTGCCAGCTTCCAAATCTGATGGCCCCTGGGTTTCATGCTCCTCACTCAGAGTTCTGCCAAAGGTGCCAACACACCAAAGTGAGGCTTCCAGAGAGGGAGACGCTCGGAGGACATGATTTCCATGTTCTGACTGTCTTCATGTGGAAAACCTCCGCGTGCGCATCGGGTTTGATTCTGGTGCCTACACCAGCTCACAGAGATTTTAAATTTACTTTAAAGATATTTCTTAAATGTCCATATAGGGCCGGACGAGTGGCGCGTTGGTTAAGAGTTGGCTTGGGACGCTAGCTCTGAGCAGCAGAGCCCCGGTTCGAATCCCACATGAGGGCCAGTGATGCTGCGCCCTCTACAGCTAAGATGGTGAACAGTAGCTCGACCTGGAGCTGGGCTGCTGTGAGTCACCGGTGACGGCGTAGGCTGCAGTGGGGCTGGCCGGCAGCAGGCATGCACTTTCATGAGCGGCCGTGAGCGGCCATCTAATGGCCAGAGAGTGACTGCCTCACCTGGGAAGATCGCAATGATAATATCAACATGGGCCAGAGAAGTGACATCCTCCACATCTAGACTGAAGAACAAAAGGACAGCAACTTGTCTGTTCCCCTTCCCCAATTCCCCAATAAACTCCAAAAAAAAAAAAAAGTCCATGTACTGTTCTTTTACCAAGTGGTTTGTGGAGCTTGGGGTTTATCGGCTGGTGTGGGTCAGATGAGGGTTTACAGCCCTTGGGATGAAGTCAGGCCAGGCCGATTGTACACAAGAGATTCTCACAAATATCGGTTTTTACATCAGCTCGCAGCTTATTTATTCCATCCCAGGCAGTCAAGGGATGTTTCTCTCTGAAGCCGTATTTTAGGAACTGGACAGAACTATTAACTTTAGAGAAAAAAGAGGAAACTGGGGAAAACTGTGATGGTTGTACCTCCGTCGCTCTTACAGCCCTGGCTAACTTGGTTTAGCCTGGATGAAACATGAAAGGCGGTTTGATCTCTCCGTAAGCCATCTGCTTTCTGTTATCTAACGCCCTAGAAAGTCAGCTCCCACAGCCATCAGTCAGGCCCCTCCCAGGAGTGATTTCCAGAATAAAGTAACTGGATTTGCTCTGCGTTTCCTGACAACCCCCTGTGAGAAATGGATGAACACTTCATGTCTGCAGACTGCTAAGCGCTGGTTACAATGTTTACCTTCTACCTGACTTTCCCCCTATAATCCTACCCCACTGAGGCTCTTAGAACCCTGTGCAGGAGGAGATATCGCGACACCAAAACCAAGCTCCCGTACCTCTGACGATCAGGTCTGCAGCAGCGGACAGCGTGTCCACACTTGTCCGGACCAGGCAGACGTATTTCCCAGCATGCTTCAGCTGGATGTTTCGGATCATCAAATCACCAGCTGAATCCTGCTGATAAAGTAGGGGAATGGCTACAATTAGTTTGTAATGACTCTAAATGTCTTTATCACATGAAGGACACGGTGGCTAATGGATTTATTTTACACTGGCTGATGGGAACATCAGTGATGCCAGCCATGGCCTATTAAGAATAGGGAGCCTGCCCGAGAGATAAGAACAGCCATGTGTTCAGAACACACCTTGGCTTCCCGGAGGTTCTGGACCCATTTGCTGCCTCTGCTGGCAGCACGTCACTTTCATCAGGTGGCTCCTGGTCTAGTCCCAGGGGTTTCATCCAACGTGCCCTTGGCCTATGGCCTTCGCTGGTGTTCCCAGACTTTGGAACCCTGTATTTGGAAAGGCCCATGTTTGGGGACACCTGCATTTTACTGCACAACCCGTGTCACAACCAGCAGTCTGATCACTCCCAGGACTGAATGAAAGGATTATGAGGACCAGACTCTCCATGGAAGCCTTGCATCACCTAGTCTGGGATGGTGCCAATCTGCTGTTCAAATGCCAAATGCAAGTTTGGTCAGCAGATGAAGAGGACTAATTACATCCGGGACAGAAGTCCATGTGCCCTAGATATTTCTACCCGGTTCACCAGCACAGACTTGTAATACATGTGGGGACAGGCTGTCACAAAGGTGGCATTTAACTGAAGAACACGACTACACCTTGGAGTCTGGTTTCATAGCTCAGTTATCAAAAGCTTGGGAAGTGACTCCTTGAGTGAGAGAGTGCCTTGGGGTTCAGATCCGGGAAGCCATTTTCTTCCTAAACCCCTAATGGGTGACAAGATCACTTCGGCTTCCCCACCCCAAACGACAGCCCCCTGTGTTGCTGTGTGTCTTCATGGAAGTCTCTTAACCTCTCTGGGCCTTAGCTTATTGACCCAAGAAGGAAGAGTGCACTGGCTAATGAGCTAGGTTGTGACAATCAAATGAGCGTGTACGTGTGTGTGTGAAATCCTTCTGAAAAGTGGGAAGCACAGAGTAAACTGAAACGGACATTATTGATGGCCATGATCAATCATGTCCGACATTACATCGAATTCAAGAAAAGCTGTGATTTTTTTTTTTTTACCTGAAAGCTCTTTTATTTATAGAACTTGGTTTCTCCTCTAGATTCTACTATTTACTGATCAAGTCTTACAATTGCTCAATAAAACAGGATAATAATTGCTACCTGATTTCACAGGGTTTCGGTGAGAATTAAGGAGCTCGTATACATGGAAGTGTTTGAGCAATGGTTACACATTTTGGAAATGTACGAAGAACTGTAAGGAATCCTCATCGTCATTATCATTATTTATACTTCTTTACCTAAGACAGTTCACGTGTTAGGACTTTGAGTATAGACTTAAATGAAGCGTCTGCCTCACAGGGGTGTGTGCAGGGGGGTGGGAGCCACGCTGGTTTTAAGGAAGTGGCTCCACTGCCTCAATAATTCACTTTGTTTACTGAGGGCTTGAAAGTTGTCCTAACAGAATTTTGTGACTGTGTGATTTAGAGTGTGCTCTCTTTATTTATCCATTTTGACCAGATTTGTGTTTTTAAAGTCAAACTGAGACAGAGAAATACATAAGGGCAGGGCTGAGGAGTCTCTTGGAAGGAGACCATGGCAGCGTTCGCTCTCCCTCTGGAGTCATCCAGACCCAACCGCTAGCTGAGATTTCTGTGAATATTCCATCCAAAGCGCACAAACAGCACTGGCGACTTTCCCCCCGACAGACAGCACTTGGAGGCTATCAGAGGACAACGAAGTAAGGACTTCTCCAAAGCCGGCAATGGGCAGGCTCTGCTGGCCCAGGGAGCAGAGGCCAAGAGGTGGGCTGACCTCAGAACTGCCTCCTCACCTCTTCTACTCGAGTCAGTGCTCGGCAGACACGAATGACCCTAGTGGCTCACACTCCGTGCTCACCCTCGGTGGTGCTCTCCTGAATTTGGCACTTACATCTTAGCAATAGTTGACCGATGTTAGAACTAGTTTCATAGACGGGACAAACGTTTTCCTGTGAAAGGCTGATGAGAGTGATTCCACACATGGAAGTCTCTAGAAAGGTGGCCATTACTGCCTGACTCCATGAGGGGTGTCTCTGCCCGGCTCCGCCATGGCTGGTCTGCAGCCAGGACAGCACACAGGCCACATCTGTCTGATTGGCAGGGCCTGGGTTCTGACCAGTCAGGCACCTGTTCTGATTGGTTGGTGCCCATGCCATTCTGGAAGATAGTGTTTTTAATATTTCTCCTGCCCAAGACATTGGTTTTTAGTATGAAAACAAATACTTTGCTTAACTGAAGAAGGTTTTGTTAATTTATACTTTCCTGTTATTAAAATCAGTGTTACCAATCCTTCAATTAATACAACCATTGAAGCTTATCAAGTGCTTTTATTGCGGTAGGCATTGGGCTATGCACTTGTCCAGACCTGAAGGGGTTTAATATCCTCGGGGCCCTTGTGAAGTAGTTATTCTCTCTCTCTCACGTGGTCAAGGTTATTAGGCTGAACTATATCCAATAGGTCCAGAATTGTTAATATTGGCAATTTCATCCAGCCTTTCTCAACTGGGGTTCTAAGAGCGAGTCACTAATGACCTGAGCCATCCATTCATGCAACAAAGCAATTTCTCCCCTGTGCATTTAACACAGTACACTAGTCATATATGATCCTTGGGATAATTGAAAAAAAAATGCCACTCAAATCATGTTTTGGTGCTCCGTGATTCAACGGAGAGACACTGTTTGAGAAAGGCAGCAAGGATGTAACAGGACTAGTACTACATTTGAATGGAAAATAGGCCTCAATCAATATATCCCGTGGACAGCACTGTAAGCCTTAGTCCATTTATTCTCAGCGGAAGGGGTGGGGATAAGATGAGGTGAGTCAATCAGATTCCTCCAGTGGCATGGAGGGCGGGAAGGGCTTCTCAAATCCCAGCCCCACGGTTACACTGAGCTGTCTTTCGGTTGGACCCCTCCATGTGAGTGGCAGCCAGAGTGAAGCTGTGGAACAATGGGGCTGTAGCGCTGTGTTGGGGCAGAAAAGCATTTTTTTGAGCACGGCTGTGATAGGCCCAAATTATTTCCAGACTGAACCTTTTCTTGGTGTGGGTTCAATGATAATATGCATTTTTTTTTCTTAAGAGGAAGGCATTTTGAAAATTCAACCATTTGCATTCAAATTACCTGGAGATAACAAATAATCTGATCAGACTTTCAGATTCAAGAAAGAGAGCCCTGAGGTCCTCACAAGGATGAGTCTTCCAGAAGAGCTGACAAGAGTCTCATCAAGAGATTGAAAGCATGAGGGGTGTAAATGTCTAACAATTACAATTGTTTTGTACACCTGAAACTAATTAAAAAATGCATAAACTGTCCTCAAGCTATTTTATTAATCAGGTTCAGTGGCCTGTGGTGAGGTAAGGGCCCCAGAGCTTGAGATTTGGAGTTTGAGCTGAGTTCTGCAATTGTAGCTATGTCAACTGTGATGGGAAATTTTACAAAAGGGGGGCAGAGGCGAAAGGGAACAAAAGGTTCAAATTTCTAGTATAAAGCCAATGAGTCATGGGGATGTAATGCACAGCATAAGGAATACAGTCAATAATACTGTGACAGCGTGGGACGGTGTCAGATAGTTGCTGGGTTTATCATGGTGATCGCTTCTGTAGGTCTATAAATGTTGAATAACTATGGTGTATCTCTGAAACTAATACAACATTGTATGTTACCTATATTTTAATGAAAATCTTAAAAAAAAACAGCTATGAGGCCAAGGCAAGCCTTCCAACTTCCCGAGCCTCAGTTTCCTCATTCGTACAGGGTAATGAATCACTAACCGTTAGGGATTAACAGGAGCCATATGGGTCACTCCATAAGTGATGCTGCATCTATCATGCAAAAAGCAGCAGGAATTACCCAAGAGTTTCTTAAAAGAAGGTGCTTGAATGAAATCATCAAAGACTAACTTTCTATTGCTTTTTAAGTTAAAGGAGCTGTGAGTCAGCGTGGGGCAGCTGAATTGCACACGGCATTTCCAGTGGGTAGTCCGATATTAATACTTACCCCTCCAACTCTTTCAAAGTGGTCCCCATCTTTGTCAAAATCTATCAGGTGTCCATTAAACGTCCATGTGAACACGATGTCTAGCGAGTGATCATGTGTCACCTGGCATGTCAGAACAATACTTTCTCCGACAGTGACATCCATGCTGGAAGGGGGCACCATGACTCTGGTTGGATCTGGAGAGTGAAAACAAGGCCAAAAAAAAAAAGAATCCAAGAGGACAAAATACTGAGTAGTTTCCTTTTATTTTTTCCGCAGGCTGTGACCTGCAAACCTCAGTCATCTGGGAAGCAGGGATTCAGGCCAGGAGGTCATTTTCAATATGAAAAGATGAAAACACTCATTATGAGAACCTCTCAAGAGCAGCAGAGCCCAGGTGGGTAGCACCGAGGGTAGACCTCCAAGGAAGCTCCTGGAAGGGCTCGCTCCTGCCAGCTGGCTCCGGAATCACCTCTTTAAAAAGGTTTCGTATCTCCCCCCGTTTCAGCAGCAGCAATATTTCAGCTGAGCGCAAACAGGAAAATCCATGCTCATTTGAACTTTGTTGGGCTTTTTTTTTTTTCCTATCATAAAAGTGATAAATGTTTAGTATGGGAAATTTAGAAAATTCAGGAAAGTTAAAAGCAGAAATCAAATAAACCCCAAAACCAAAATAAAACAAAACAAAATCCTATTTAATCTCATACTATCTGGCTTAAGCCTCTGTTTTCATTTTGGTGTAATTTCCCCCAGTTTTTCTGGCTCTTAGCTTTTCAGTTGTTTTATTTTGCACTATTGTCAACATTCTACACATATGATTTCCCTGTCTCTTCTTTACTTAATTTAATATTAGGTATATCTTTATCCCCGTTTTTCATAACCTGCTTCATGCATTAGTTTATAGTTTTAACCATTTTGAAGCTAGTAGACATTTTAGCAAATTTTATTAGACATATATTATTAATAATGCTGTAATGAGCATCATTGACAAAATGATATATGTATAATGCTTCTTTAAAATAAGGTCTACTATTTGTTTTTAAATTCACCCTTTCCATTATAGTTTGGATTGGGAATGGAATGGGCTTGCTCAGCTGAGAGTATATCACTCCAGAGCTACACTCACACATAGAAAGATGGTCCTTTACGTTTCACTGCAACATGATTTCCTAAATAGTGTCAGGCGATACAGTGGTGAAAAGCAATTTGCGTTACATAGAAAGGTCATGTAAGTGACTAAAGAATGAAATTCTGAGTTCAGCCATATTCCAGAAATTTCTCTGTCCTAAACCAAATCACACAAAGCCAACCCCACAAATCATAACAAAGAAGGCAAGTCCAAAGCAAACGAAACATTAAAAGAACGCGCATCGATCCCCTTCCTATTCACAGGATGGGGTTCAGGCTTGGGGGTGCATAAGCCTTTATGGAGTCTGCTTCTTAGATTCAGATCTCAGCTGGGGATTTTAAAAGGATATTTCATGGAGGCTGTTGCTGGGCCTTCTCTCCAACGACCCGCACTAAAATTTCCTCTTTAAAGAGAGGATTTAAAACAGGCTCTCCACCCTTTTACCCAATTACGGAGAGCAAACATCTCTGGTCATGAGAATAGAAATGTCTATGTCCATCACAGATTATAGCTCAGCGGTGCGACCCACTTTTGCTATTGTCTGAAAACAGGAAAAGGTCATGATAAGTGGATTGGTGTCCTGTTAGTCACTGTTGAATAAGTGATGTTCATGAAATGAGATGCGCGAACAGGGGCTGCCAGCTAGGAGGGCGTGGAAGGGGCAACCCTTTATTTCAAAACCTGAGGCTTTTGCAGTTCACATAATCAAAATCTGCTCTATTGATTAAATGATCCCCAGGAATACCTTTGTCTGTATCTATCTATCTATCTATCTATCTATCTATCTATCTATCATCTATCTGTCATCTATCGATAAAGATATATATATCTATATACTGTATTGTATTTATATATTGTATCTATATATTGATTTTTTTTAAATGAGGGAAGTTGAGAACAAAATCACCTCAGAATAACTCTATGCAAAAATCTAGCAACAGCTCCATTTTGATTTAACCTGTCATTTATCATTTTTGAATTTAAAATTTTCCTCATCTGTAAATGAAAAAATCCTGTCTAAAATTACATGTGTCTATGGGTTTTATGGGGCAAGTAGTTGCCTAATTTTACTTGACTTAGCTGTCCACAGACATTGCAATTTAGATTTTCATTTTAATGTACCATTAATTTGTTGATGTATCCACCAGGCATGTATTGTATGTTACATGGATAACAAACAGCATCCTAGCACGAAGGATATAAAACAGGCCGAGGGAATAATCACATTAATAGTAACTGTGCCCCTTACATTCTAGACACTGCGTTAAGCACTTTACATGGATTATTTCATTTATTCTTGACAAGTAGGTATTATTATCATCCCTACTTAACAGATGAGGAAAACTAATGTCTAGAGTGGTTAAGACACCATCTCTTGTGCTCAGCGGCCTCTTTTCATTTAGCTGGAAACACGACATCCATTCACAGATCGTCCAGGGAACCATCTAAGGGTATAATCTAGCAATTTGCACACTTCATTATGTGTAGTCAACTGAAGATATTTAAATGCAGAAGAAATTCAAAGGAGGCCACGGGGTGAAGACGGTTTCAGAGGGTTTCGCTCAGGGTAATGAAGTTGCAGCCTTAGGTACAAAGCAGGGACGCTTTCATGCCTGAAACGCTGGCACTGGCTCTAAGCTTACACATCAGACCCACGAGGGCAGGGTCAGATGTCCAGGTCTCTAAGAATGTCTCACTCCCCATCTCCTGAAAACTTCTGGGTGAGCAGCAAGGAGCTGGCACTTACCCCAGCGCCTGGAGTCATGTGCAATTCTGGCTCTCATTTTTAATTGGCGTTTGTTTCCTAAAGAAACGCCCACCCCTTTATGCACATGTAGGGACCTGGGACAGATTTCATTATTGGTGAACTCAGCTGCCTGCTAACCAAGGACCAGAGACGCTCCCTCACTCAACGACTGCGCTCCTACGGTCGCTGTGCTTACAGCTGCTAATTCATTCACTTGTCTCTGGTCACTGATTCACGTTCTCAGCCCTGAAGTAGCAAGGATCAATGCAAAGCAAGTCATGGACTGTACACACACCGTAGAGGTCTCCGTGGGAACAGAGAAGATTAAACCAAAGGGGTTCAAACCTCATTAGCTACTTGTTTCCTCAAATTGTATGCTTGTTCAGAACTCCCTTTTTCTGCGTTGTGAATTTTGATTAATTTCCTTAAATTTGAATACAAACACGGTACACAAATAAACAGATGGCTTCTTCAAAACAAAACTGTTTCCCCTCCTTTGGTTTTAATTCATCAAGATCAGGAAAGATCTGTATTTACGACTTCTGCTCTTAAGAGTCGCTCCAACTATTGTTCTGTGCATAGAACTCTCAAAAGCAATTAGAACTCAGGGTGTGAATTGATGTCTGGATTTCGATGTAATTAAATAGCAACAATAAATAGGACCAACTGCACCCTAAACATGTGGTTGGTTCATGCTGCAGAGAATGATAAATTCTCAACTCCAGAAAACTGATGCATTAAATACACACACACACACACACACACACACACACACACACACACACACACATACATATATATATATATATTTTTTTTTACCGAGTGTCCAAACCTCCTAGAATAAAAAAATAATAAAAAATATATATATCTTTTATGTTTACAGTGTTTCCTATGATATACAGAGGACAGAAAGTAAACTAAGTGCTTTGTTCTATAGACAATGACAACCATGAGAATTAATTATTAACCACTCTGTTAATGATTAGGTCAACAATTAGACATATCAATTAGAACACATTATCCAAGTCATATTATATTCTGCCTTTCACTGTTTAGTGGAAAAGCTTTCTGATTTAGGGCTTTTATTATCTGTAAACACAAGCGTCTGGGGGGGGGTCACAGGATAAGAATTTAATTTTGATGTTGCTTTCCCTAGGCCATTCCCAAGTATAGCTGATAATTTATTTGCCTTTTACTCTCAGTGCCTAATGTGTATATTTGTCATTGTCATTCACGGAAGGTATATGTGGTCTGACAATTAAGTTCGTGAACTTGTTGCTAAACTTTTATTTGATATCAGAGGGATTATTCATTTTGATTTTGTACCCACTGGGCAAACAGTTAACCAAGTTTACTATTTGGAAGTGCTGAAAAGGCTGCGTGAAAAAGTTAGATGACCTGAACTTTTCGTCAACAAATCATGGTTCTTGCATCATGACAATGCATCACTCACACGACACTGTCCATGAGGCAGTTTTTAGCCAGTAAACAGATAACTTTATTGGAACACCCTCCCTACTCAACTGGCCCCCAATGACTTCTTTCTTTACCTGAAGAAAAAGGAAATATTGAAAAGAAGACATTTTGATGACATTCAGGACATCAAGGGTAATACGACGACAGTTCTGATGGCCATTTCAGAAAAAGAGTTCCAAAATTGGGCCGGCTGAGTGGCTTGTTTGTTAAGAGTTGGCTTGGGCGCTCGAGCCCTGAGCAGCAGGGTCGCCAGTTCGGATCCCACATGGGCCAGTGACGCTGTGCCCTCTACAGCTAAGATGGTGAACAACAGCTCGACCTGGAGATGGGCTGCCGTGAGTCACTGGCGACGGCGTAGGCTTCAGTGGGCTGCCGTCCAATGGCCGATGACTGACTGCCTCAGCTAGGAAGAGCGCAATGATCACAATACCAACATGGGCCAGTAAACTGATGTCCTTGACAACTAGACTGAAGAACAAAAGGACAGCAACTTGTCTGCCCCAATCCCCCAATGCTGTTCCCTCCCCCAATTCCCCAATAAAATCTTCAAAAAAAAAGAGTTCCAAAATTGTTCTGAAGGGTGGACTAGGTGCTGGCGTCAGTGCATAGCTTTCCAAGGGGAGAACTTCAAATGTGACCGTAGTGATATTCAGCAGTGAGGTATGTGGCACTTTTTCTAGGATGAGTTTGCAAACTTAATTGTCCAAACTCGTACATCTCCTTTTGTTGGTGGATTTCTTGATGGTGACGGTTTTGATGACAGCTTTCAGTCAGGTTATGTCTTCTTTTCATATATTAATTTTTGTAGGGAGAATTTTATACATGGGATACTTCAAAAACAGGAG